ATAGAGGATTTGGAGCCATCGATTTTTCATATTTCAGGGTAGTTTGAGAACAAAACGTAATATCTCTCTATGGCTTATCACGGTATGTACTCTTTAAGTTGACTTCACTTCTGGAACTTTACTTAACTCTTTTTTCGCATATGTCTGTAATAGCCACAAGGCTTACACATCAATTTTTAGTAAACTAATGACTCTAGACAAGTCTGAAGATTTTATTGATCCAGCTACATATGCTTTTTAGTCCTTGTCTGTCATCATCTACACTCTCCTACCTACTAAACAACCACCTTTGAAACGAATGGACTCAGATGGGAATCAGTTGTTTATCAATGCCAGGTGGTAACAAATTCGCCCAAATATAGGTAGATTTGAAAATTCTGAGAAGTAAAATGAATTTGAAACACTTCACTAAGTAATATGATTTCAGTGTTTAACAAACTACCTATTACCGAGTTGGAGAATATTAGGTATTCAGTTTCCATACTTACGCTCATTTTTCTCGACTGGGGGTCATAGTCAAAATGTTCACCGGTTTGTATTCAAAACCTGTGTAATTACTACTCGCAGTCTATGGGTAGGACAAGCAATTGGAGGAAATCAAACCTATAGAAACGTTGTAGCTAAGTATTATATCGTTATGTTTGATTTAACTTACAGTATAATTTTCCAAGCAAAATCGTTTGGTTAAATAAATGCAATGAATTAAGAGTCAAACCTCTTAGGGGGGCCAAGATTGCCTGGCTGAAGTCGATGTGATCTCTATGGTTAAACTCTGTCACTTTCGAATCGGCCGTAGAGGCACAAATACATTTGGGCACATATATAGACTTTGTAGTTGTGAAGAATCTTAAGCTTGTGTTTTGTACCTACAAGGTAGTTTGTTATCCTATACTGACCACTAATCAGCATATTTGTTTGTGTGTGTGTGTGTGTGTGTGTGTGTGTGAGAGTGATTTTCTGATATTTTAACTGGCATTAAATTCTGTTATAAACAGCTGATGCCTTGGGATTTCTTTCTTGACCCCTTTTCCTCACCTTCAGGGTTTTGTGCTTGTGTGCTTAACCACAAGGAATCATTTATCTTCGGCGTTTTTTGTTTTACGTATAGTATGTTGGCGTTTTTATGATTAATATAGATTTTGAAATTTATATTAAGGCATTTCATTTGAACAGAACGACTTTTGAAACAGTTTTCCATCTGTTACTCGTGTATTATTCTCTCACTGTGTATAGAATATATACATATATAAAAGACAAATTCAGTGAAAAAAATTTTCTTTATCGACGAAATCATCTTCAGAGGTTGGCTGTACAATCGTATTTATGCTTACAAGAAATATATAGTGGTCTATTATTGAGTAAGAGGGGTGACATAATTGATATAATTACTCAGAAGTGGCTTTAGAAGGGAAAAGAATTAAAAGTTGTAAATTACGTAGTACTCAACGGCACAAAGATAGAATTTTGATAAGGTTAAAGTTGCTATTGAGTGAGAATAAAGGTGGTAGTTGAGTGTCAATTTAACAAGTGTGAAGAGGGTGTGAAAATATACAAAAGGAGTATATGAGAGTGATAATAGTGAATTAATTATTGAAGCCAAAGCAAACTAAAAGTGAAATTGAAAATTAAAGAACTAAAAGTTTTTATACAGGGAACGACTAGTGAAGAGATTAAGAGCAAGGTAGAATAAGAGACTGGACAAACTTTTTCTGTATACAGAGTTCAGGGTTGTATTGATGAATTGCCAGCGCCTTCGCCACACACAAAAGTCGAAACCTTACTCCCTTTGTACATTTGGCTTCACTTTGTAGATGATGTTGAAAGACGACTCTGGCGGAGCTATGTGACCTTTACTTTTTAATTTTACTCCTAGTTTGCTTTGGCTTCAATAATTAATTCACTATTATCACTCTCATATACTCCTTTTGTATATTTTCACACCCTCTTCACACTTGTTAAATTGACACTCAACTACCACCTTTATTCTCACTCAATAGCAACTTTAACCTTATCAAAATTCTATCTTTGTGCCGTTGAGTACTATGTAATTTACAACTTTTAATTCTTTTCCCTTCTAAAGCCACTTCTGAGTAATTATATCAATTATGTCACCCCTCTTACTCAATAATAGACCACTATATATTTCATGTAAGCATAAATACGATTGTACAGCCAGCTTCTGAAGATGATTTCGTCGATAAAGAAAATTTTCTTCACTGAATTTGTCTTTTATATATCTATTCAGGAAAATATATGATTTCATTTGAACAGAATGACTTTTAAGCCAATGAATACAGTATAACTTGTGATTTGAAAGTTTTTTATCTGTTACTCGTGTATTATTCTCTCATTGTGTATAGATGTGTCGCTCAGCATTTAGAATGCTACAAATCAAATTTAAAAATCATACATATGAATTTTGTCAATCCAGTCAACTTTTTCTCAACACGTCGTATTGTTAACTTTACCAACAGTTTAATGAACTAACTTGCCGACAGTTTTCAAGTTACATTATTTTTTATAGATATTTTATATAAGGTGTCTTTATCTTGTGTCACCCTTTTTACACAGAAAGTTTCCAGAAATTTTAACCCAAATGAATATTATCATTATTACTGGAAAAATCTGGCCACAAAAGGGGGTTTATTTAAGGGTTTTGTCATTGTGAATCATCTTAGCGGATCAAATGTATCAACTAATCTACATATTGTAATTGTTATAGATGAGTTGGTGAGAACTGTACAAACTTGCCTTGTAACCGGAAGACCCTGGCTTCGCACCTCAGGATCCATCTCCATTTTCTCCTACATATTTATCAAGCAATCAAGTCTTATTTGGTTTTTTCCCAGACAGAGTTTCTTGTTGCTAATTCTTTTTGGCCGACCATTCGATATTCAGTATTAAGCCAGAGAAGAGGGCAGCTGTTGATAAAAGTCTGTAACTTGTCGGACATCCTTTCCGTAACACGCTGGCCAATTTTATCACCCGTATAGAACACCTGACTGACTTGACATTGGTGTTGAAAATCCGAATCTCGTTCTTCTTGCTGAGGCGAAGTTCAGAAGATTTCCAAACTCGTTTCAGACTGATGAAGGTGTATCTTGCCTTTCCGATTCTGACCGGCTGGTATTGACATATTCATCCGTTCCGCTGGCCTGTAGTTGAAACGATGCTTTCTGGCTGGATAAGTGAAGGAAGTAACCTCTGTTAAATCTCTCCCGTTGATAGTGATTGATGCTGGTTGTTGTTATCGTTGTTGCTGCTGTTGGTTGGCTGGTTATCTTCATCACCTCCGTCTTCTCTATGTTTACGTGGAGTTCTGCCTCTTTTGGCTGCTTATACAGCCAGTTTGTTGGTTTTCGTCTGCCTTTAAGTCTTCGAATTTGTGTGATATTATACACATATCATCTGCGAAATCCAGATCTTTTAGATGAAGTCTTCTTATCGTTGGTCCAGTCTACTCCTGTCTTCTCGCTCTCAACACACAGTCTGACGCATAATCTAGTCAGTTGACCACAGTTAAGAATATCATCGGTGATAGTAGTGGGCAGCCAGACTTGATTTACTCCTGTGTTCACTTCGAATGCCTCGCTGAGTTTTCCGTTGTTGATCACCTGACACGTGGCACTGTCATATAGCCAGCAGTTGAACTAAGTTTATAAATACTTGGCCACTCTACGCCGTAATGTTGAAGTAGTTTCCAAATTACTTCTCAGTTAACGCTGTCTGTTGAAGGCCTTTTCGAAGTTGATGAAGTTGGGGTAGAGGCACAGTTGACTGCCATTCTATACTTTGTTGTGTGACGACGATTTGTAGAGTTGCAGTTTGATCAACATATGATTTGCCTTTCCTGAATCCAGCTTGTTCCGGACTGGCAGAGTTCTGTATCCAGTGCATCTTCTATTCTCTCCAGGATGATGCGACTTAGTATTTTACTTGGTGTGGGTGGACAAGAGCATTATTCCACGCCAGTTCTTGCTCAGGCCTAGATTTCCCTTCTTTGGTAGCTCAGTCGGTAGGCACCTTCCCTTTCTTCCAAACCTTCTGCGATAATGGCGTCAGAACATCTGCTACAGTTTCTGGTTCCGCTCGCAGTGCTTGGGGGTGGGGGGGGGGAGAATGGCATCTGGTCCTGCTGCTTTCCCAGTCTTCAGTAACGTGATCGCATTCAGAATTTCTGCTTACCAGTACTCTCTGGTTTTCCAGTAGTTCTCTTGCTGATGTCACCTTGTAATCAATCCTGTAACCAATGAAATCCCTGAAAACCAACACTTGATAACTGTAAGAATTAGTTTATAAGACGTTACATAAATGTTGTGTGCGTAAGGCTCTGTATAAGGACCACAAGTTGCTAAGTGTAAACTCTCTTGTCGGTGACAAATTAGTAGACTAGAATTACTCAATAACATTAAACTATGTAAAGAATGGTCTCAGCAGTGAAATTTGCAAGTGTTCCGGTACGTCTGTAGTCCAGTGGTAGGATGCTCGCCAGCCACTCACATGGTCAACGTTCGACTCCCGGACGACATCTAGTTTAGTAGCCGGTTGTAAATCCGAAGACGGAGTCTGTGTGTGTGTGTGGAGGGGGAGGTTCATTATCAGGTAACTGACACCACCCGTAAAAACTACAATATCACAAGTAGAACCTCAGAGTTTGAAGCCCTATACTCCACTTGAAAGGAATGAAAATAAGAATAGTACGAGATATCGACATTTAAGAATGCGTTGTACTTACTTATGAGTGAGAGGATCACTGTAATCTTTCGTTTACCAAAGTTTTGTGTCGATGTCTTTTGTCTATCAGTCACTGTATTGACCCTCGTTGGTTCCAGCAGAATACTTTTCGTGACCTTTACTTTGCGTACCGCTTGTTATGTTACTTCTTCATCAATTATAATCTTGATGTTTTTGTTTTCAGTGATATTTTTGTTCTTTGGTCGACTGTACTACTGCAGTTGTTGCATAACTCTATATATTTGTATGAACTGTGAAGACACTAAATGAGTGGCACCAAAGAAAATCCTTTCAAGCATGCCAGGCGAAAAACTGAGTTCGGTATGTTTACCTGATTTTCATTCTTCAAATAATAATAACAATGACTGATTGAAGGAGGCCTTCGCGTGCTTTTGCAAGTGTTTTTTTTTGGGGGGGGGGCTTGTCACCCTCGGGCCACTCAAACCATGGGAGTTGGTTTTTTCTTGAGGTACCTGAAACAGAAAGAGAACTGGTGTTGCGTGACCCAAGACCCCATGGGGACAACTGCTTGAAGCTGTTCACACATAGCCTGTTTCAACTGGCTTTCAAGTTTGGTTCCGTACTGGTAACTTATCGTCGGCTGCGGACCCCCGTAGAGCAAGTCAGAATTTATAATTTTTGGGTCGACCTTTGTCAATCTCCTCCAGGGTGGAGAGACAGCATAGCTGGCTGACATGCTGGGCATCTGAGGGAAATACCTTATTGCTGTTACATCCATGTTCCCCAGCAGTATGACTTTACCCACAGACCGCCAGCATAAGATATAAAAAATCTTACAATGAGTTCGTAACTGATTTTAGTCTAATCGTTATCCTAACAATCTTCCTGTCATGGTAAGACCTGCAGGAACATTAATTCCAGCTAGTGTAGCTTGTTGGGTCATTGTGATGTGCAAGCCCTACCACCACCTCAAGGTAGCAGCTATCTTTCGGGATCAATAATACTGACGATGAAATGATGAAAATACTTCTTGTCTTATTTTATTTCCTAATTACTGGAGTCAACACGTACGTACTGCTGATTATTTATAATAATGGAGTTCCGTTTTCTGCCATTCGGCGTGTTTAACACATGTTTGTAGATTATCGTCAACAAAACTTACGAATCAAATGAGTCTTCTCATCCATTGCACAAGCTAGAGCGTTAACGACCCTCGTGAAACTCCTTTTATATTGTTATCAATTGTGTGATTGTAAACAGTTGAGTGTATAGAACTGTTACGCTGCTAGTTTTTGTGTAGACTCACTCACCAGTCGGTGAGTGATGAAAAAGTCCGTGTCTATATGTAATTGTGTGAGTGCTGATGGAGGTGTAATGAAGACATAGGGCCACACTGCAATGTGGGTAATCGTTAGCAGCGTAACAATGTTAGTCTGGAGGTCTCAATTCGGATTTACAACACTTTTATGTATACAGTTTTGTTATGCACCTAGGAAACTTGGCCTCGCTGAGCTGAGGATGTGAGGCGATTTCTTGTATGCGATCATAGCTATCTTCCTAGGATTGCCCGTACTCGATAGTGGTATCGTGTTGGCGATTCTGAAGTCCTACTGTATGTTTGGAAAGATTGAACATCGTCTTTCAACAAGTGATATCATTTTGTGACACCATCTTCGTTGGCTTAGACATGTACTATGAATATAATCACAGAGACTAGCCGTTGAGGAAAGCGGGAAGTCTATCAGAGTATGGCATGGTACCGTGTAGTGAAGGCTAGTTTTGCCGGGTTAGTTATCTATCAGTGCACCATGAATCCCCGGATTGGGTCCAATAGGTCGTAAGACGTTTTAAGATATGATTAAGAATCCATTTGCGAAAGTAATATGCAATAACGACCAATTTTATAGGTGTTCTTAGTAAATATGCTCATTTGTTTTTATTCTGTTGGTTCTCAATTATTTTATTTCTCTCTTCCTTGAATTGTTGTCTGATTATTTTGTATGGCGCTCCCAATTTGCTGCTCATGTCGTATCAGATTTGCGTTTTAAATAAGTCAAGGCGGGTCTGTCTGTCTGTCCGCGTCGATGTGCGGCAGTTCAAGTCGCCACACTCCCCCCGCGTAAGAAAGTAGAAGAAATGCATAATAGAGACAGCAAACAGAGATGTGAGACAAAGGAATAGTAATAACGGAGAACAATATAGTTTCATTGGAAATCACAAGGAGTGGATGCATCTGCGCCATTGAGAACGATTTTCAGCCATATCACCAATTGTCTCTAGCCTTCACTGGTTTTTACCGTCCTGAGGACCCCAACCAATCAGGAAGTCTACACCTTCCTACGTGACTAGCTAGTTTAAACTAACTGTTGTGGATTTTAACTGATTAAAAATGCCCATTAAAATTTTTAAAAGAATGGATACTGAACAAAGAGTACTCTTCGATAAATTCATCATCAGGCTCTACATTTATACATACATTATAGTGAATGAATGAGTTAGTGTTATAAACGACATTAATGTTTAAATAACTGGTGAGGCCATGTTTTAGTTTGACCGCCGCTGGCTCTTTTCCAGCCTGACCCCCATGTTAGCTAACATTGCTCGTCTGTCGTGGAAGGCGATGACTAAGTGTGCATACGTAACACATATCCCAACCATCTCAGTCGATGCAGCTTCACAACCTCGTCGATTGATTTCCTCTACTTACCTAGAACTCGACCAAAGTCTAACCTCAACATTGCTCATCTTATCATACCACTTCACACGGGATATGGAACGCAAGCACCTATGATCAAAGACAGTAAGCCGGGCTTTTCATGTCTTTTACTCTCAATGGCAAGGTCTCACTCACAGTGATAAAGGAGGACGGAGAATACTGATGCTGAGCAGTACACATGTCCTTTGATCGACAACCAGCCGGATATCAGGTCTACGCCAGAGACGGTGTAAACTGGCTTATGCGAAACTTATGTCTGTCAAGGTGAGTGCTAGCTGCTCCCAACTGATACTTTGACCTATGCTTAGATACTACTACTATCTTTAGAAGATTTACGACCTAAATTTTTATACAACAGATTGTGTATGATAGGATGAGTAATTGTAAACTTGTAAGGGAGCATGAAAACTCAATCAGTGAGGTCATTATAGCTGCATCGATTGAAATGGTTGGGACATATTTTACCTATGCCAAGTTATTACCTTCCTTTTTGGGAAATGTTAACTGTGACATAAGGTGAAGTTGGGAAAGAGTGGTCAAATCAAAACCTGCCATCAGTCCAAGAACAAAATTTGCCCATCGCTTTGAGTAGCATAACGAGATGCGGATGCTGAAAATAAATTGGTGGAGGCTTTTGGGGATGCGGCGGCTAAAAGTCGCTTTCAATGACGTGGATGTATTCAATCTTTATGAACACCAATAGCTATTGAACTCTCACTATTCTTCATGTAATTATTTCTCCTCCCGTTGATTTCCGTTGATTATAGTTACTTTGCACTTCTATTTTCTCTTTTTATGAGATGTGACAACTTGAATTTCTGAACTTCTTTTTCAAAGTTCTGCGTTGAAAAGTCAATTAAATTCAGTTTAGCATGACATATATTTATTATTATTATTATTCTTGCCTTTGGTTTCAAGTGGAACATAGGGCTGGCTTCAACAACACATCTCCACTTTGTTCTATTTTCTACTCTCCTCCTCATCTGTGTCCACGATTGCCTATTATCTCTCATCGCCTCTTCTCAATATCCCGTCTGTGTCACCCTCGCACTACCGACCCACTCGTTGCTTCCCATTGGGATTCTACTTGAGAAATGGCCTGTATTTCTCCTACATATTTCTTAAGCTCTTGGTTGGTTTGTTTCCAGCCAGAGTTTCTTTCTCGCCGACCATTTGATCTTCAGTATGGAGCCAGCCAGTGAAGGCAGCTATTGATAAAAGACTGCAGTAGCCTGTTGGACATCGTTTTCGTGACATGCTGGCCAAGTTTCTTACCCGTATAGAAGAACCGAATTGACATTGGTGTTGGGAATCTGAATCTGGTTCTTTATGCTGGCTGAGTGAAGCAGATTTCCAAACTCGTTTCAGACTGATGAAGGTGTATCTTGTCTTTCCGATTCTAACCGGCTGGTATTGACATATTCATCCGTTCCGCTGGCCTGTAGTTGAAACGATGCTTTCTGGCTGGATAAGTGAAGGAAGTAACCTCTGTTAAATCTCTCCCGTTGATAGTGATTGATGCTGGTTGTTGTTATCGTTGTTGCTGCTGTTGGTTGGCTGGTTATCTTCATCACCTCCGCCTTCTCTATGTTCATGTGGAGTCCTGTCTTCTCTGACTGCCAGACTCTTCATTCAGTTTGTTGGTTTTCGTCTGCCTTTAAGTCTTGGAATTTGTGTGACACTGTGTAGCAACAGAAGACAAGGGCCAGGCAACAGATCGTTTATTAAAGAAATCAACACGTATTTATATATAATCATGTACATTATTATGGATTATTCAAGCAAACAAACACACTCTTGTTTCTCACAGAAAGTTGACCTTTCATCTCCTTCTGACTGTTTCTTGAATGTCAGGTCATCTATATGTTAACTGTATCCGCATACGCAAAATCTGCTGTGGTTGGCTGTTGAGTCAGTCTTTGTTCATATTTTTCCCAAGACCAATATTAGGGACATAAATATTGATTAGAACAAGACAGATAAGCGAACAATATTGTTTTCAATTAGATCTTCTTCAGGCTTTACTCTAATTTACATAGACTTATATATATAAAATTTTAACCAATGACGGTGATTTAGTGGATCAAATAATAATAGTAATCATAATAATACAAATAATAATAATAGTAATAATAATGTGGTAAATCTTTTGAACGAAGTTAATAACGATGATTATAATAATAACAAAATATTGTTAATAAGGCTTATATAGGTGATAAGAATAACAAAGTTAGTATATGCATATATGTAGACAATTCAATAAATAAATAAATTAGGTCAAATCAAATGGAACGATAATCAGAGTATAAATAAATATCATAAAAGTACGAAGGAGAGGGATGATAAGAAAGGGTGGGAGGGTTTTGAATAGAATTCACCTAGGCCAAGGGAGAGACAAAGGTAGAACAAATTTCTTTTGTATACAAAGACTAGGATTGTTCTCTCGAATTCCCATAGCTTCGGCTAAGTGTAAAAGTCGGGTTCTGATTCCGTTCGAAAGGCTTGATGGAATACGGTAAATAACTTTGAAAGCACTATTTTTGTCCACTTGGTGACCACTATCAATCAAATGTGCCAAAATAGAACTTCGTATGGACTTTATTTGACCTTTTCCGAACCATGAAGGAAGATGCTCATTAATGCGTTTGTTAAGCTGCCTAGTTGTTCGGCCTATATAGCTTTCTCCACAGGAGCAACTAAATTTATAAATACACATGGAAGTGGCACAACTCGGTAACTTATCTTTCACTTGAGCAATCAAAATTGGCCGGCTGGAAAATGACAAACAGAGGGTGGCGGCAGTATAAGTCCGTTTTATCGCTCTCGATAATCTCTGATGTAAGACTTCACTAGCCACGTCCCCATTAAATTGCAGTTTGATGAACAGTTGTTTCTTTTTAACTGTTATCGGTTTCTCTTTATTGTACTTCGCATTCATGTGTCTCCTGACAAATCTACTAGGATAACCCATTTGGACTAACGTATTTTGGATGTATCCTAGCTCATTCTCTAGAGAGTCATCTGTACAGATGCGTCTTGCTCTATTCGTCAGGCATCTGACCAAATTGATTTTGTAACGGATTGGTACATAACTGAGGAAATGTGTATATTGTCCTACAGATGTAGGTTTTCTATAGACATCTCTCTTTAGTGAACCATCCTCTCTTCTGCTCAATTGGACGTCAAGAAAATGTAGTCCACCATCATATTCTTCTTCACAAGTGAAGATAAGCGATGGATGTGCATCGTTAAACTTTTTTAACATTTCATTCTCGTCAGCTTTCACATCAAGAATAATAAAGGTATCATCAACATAACGAAAATAAGAATCAGCTTTTTCTATTACTTTTTTCAATGGACCATTTTCAATCTTGGCAAGAAAGAAATCTGCTAAAATTGGCCCCAACGGAGAACCCATGGCAATACCGTCGATTTGCCTGTAGTAAAGGTTGTTAAATATGAAATGTACATTCATAGTACATCTTAAAAGCAACTCTTTCAGACTACTAACCGGTATTCCGATGTCGATCTGTTTTTCTAGTATCTGTTGGCATATGAATTCCACAGTCTCCATAAGTGGTACATTGGTAAATAGTGATGCTACATCGAGGGAAAGCATTTGCTTTCCATTTACATTAATATCATCCACGTTAGCAATAAATTCAAAAACATCTTTAACACTGTGATTTACTACCTACCATGGAGTGGCAAAGTGGCTAGGTGAACTCCTCCAATCATTACACAAGTTGGTAGTAAATCATAGTGTTAAAGATGTTTTTGAATTTATTGCTAACGTGGATGATATTAATGTAAATGGAAAGCAAATGCTTTCCCTCGATGTAGCATCACTATTTACCAATGTACCACTTATGGAGACTGTGGAATTCATATGCCAACAGATACTAGAAAAACAGATCGACATCGGAATACCGGTTAGTAGTCTGAAAGAGTTGCTTTTAAGATGTACTATGAATGTACATTTCATATTTAACAACCTTTACTACAGGCAAATCGACGGTATTGCCATGGATTCTCCGTTGGGGCCAATTTTAGCAGATTTCTTTCTTGCCAAGATTGAAAATGGTCCATTGAAAAAAGTAATAGAAAAAGCTGATTCTTATTTTCGTTATGTTGATGATACCTTTATTATTCTTGATGTGAAAGCTGACGAGAATGAAATGTTAAAAAAGTTTAACGATGCACATCCATCGCTTATCTTCACTTGTGAAGAAGAATATGATGGTGGACTACATTTTCTTGACGTCCAATTGAGCAGAAGAGAGGATGGTTCACTAAAGAGAGATGTCTATAGAAAACCTACATCTGTAGGACAATATACACATTTCCTCAGTTATGTACCAATCCGTTACAAAATCAATTTGGTCAGATGCCTGACGAATAGAGCAAGACGCATCTGTACAGATGACTCTCTAGAGAATGAGCTAGGATACATCCAAAATACGTTAGTCCAAATGGGTTATCCTAGTAGATTTGTCAGGAGACACATGAATGCGAAGTACAATAAAGAGAAACCGATAACAGTTAAAAAGAAACAACTGTTCATCAAACTGCAATTTAATGGGGACGTGGCTAGTGAAGTCTTACATCAGAGATTATCGAGAGCGATAAAACGGACTTATACTGCCGCCACCCTCTGTTTGTCATTTTCCAGCCGGCCAATTTTGATTGCTCAAGTGAAAGATAAGTTACCGAGTTGTGCCACTTCCATGTGTATTTATAAATTTAGTTGCTCCTGTGGAGAAAGCTATATAGGCCGAACAACTAGGCAGCTTAACAAACGCATTAATGAGCATCTTCCTTCATGGTTCGGAAAAGGTCAAATAAAGTCCATACGAAGTTCTATTTTGGCACATTTGATTGATAGTGGTCACCAAGTGGACAAAAATAGTGCTTTCAAAGTTATTTACCGTATTCCATCAAGCCTTTCGAACGGAATCAGAACCCGACTTTTACACTTAGCCGAAGCTATGGGAATTCGAGAGAACAATCCTAGTCTTTGTATACAAAAGAAATTTGTTCTACCTTTGTCTCTCCCTTGGCCTAGGTGAATTCTATTCAAAACCCTCCCACCCTTTCTTATCATCCCTCTCCTTCGTACTTTTATGATATTTATTTATACTCTGATTATCGTTCCATTTGATTTGACCTAATTTATTTATTTATTGAATTGTCTACATATATGCATATACTAACTTTGTTATTCTTATCACCTATATAAGCCTTATTAACAATATTTTGTTATTATTATAATCATCGTTATTAACTTCGTTCAAAACATTTACCACATTATTATTACTATTATTATTATTTGTATTATTATGATTACTATTATTATTTGATCCACTAAATCACCGTCATTGGTTAAAATTTTATATATATAAGTCTATGTAAATTAGAGTAAAGCCTGAAGAAGATCTAATTGAAAACAATATTGTTCGCTTATATGTCTTGTTCTAATATTATAAATGGGAATAAATATTGATGTAAAATACTGTCTACCAATCTTGGCTAGTAGCCAGGTCTCACCACAACTTGACTTATATCATCTGCGAAGTCCAGATCTTCTAGATGGAGTCTTCTTTGCTTTGATCCAGAGTATTCCTGTCTCCTCGCTCACACATACGCACATTCTGACTCATAATCTAGTCAGTCAACCACAATTAGGAATATCGTCGGCGACAGTAGTGGGCAGCCAGGCTTGTCTAACTCTTGTGTTCACTTCGAACCGCCTTTCAGAGTTCTCCATTGTGGATCACCTGACACGTGGCATTGTCATACAGCTAGTTGTTGGATGAGGCCGACAAATACTTGGGTACTGTACACCGTAGTGTGGGTACCATATATCAAGTACTAATTGATGACGATAGAACTGAATGGATTCATGAAGATATTGATGAGGAAATATTGGTTTATCAAACGAATAGCAGGTTTTCGGTGACATTACCTTCCTGGTTGATGTTTCTTTTATTTGTCTATATTATTATTCATTCGTCGATTGGGCGGTAAAACGAAGGGTGTCAACAGCACGCCTTCATTCCACTTCATTCTCTGCTGTAATATTTAGCTGGCCCTAAAAATGCAAATTCCCCTTCACATGATGTCCTCCATGTCATACTCTGGCGTGTAGTTCGTCACTACCCACTCAGGTTCCATTCCCGGATCTCGCATGTGATGTGTGACTCAACAGTATCTTGAGCATATGTTCAATTCATCTCCATTTCTTGCTGCATATTCATTTTGGATTACAGCTTGATTCCACACTGTATTTTTGGTAGAGGTATGGAATTTTCAGCATGGATATCGGTAGCCCAAATTTTGCAGGCCGACCATAGATATCAGGTGTGCATCGGTAGAGGACCGAACCCCGGAACATGTGCATGACCGGCGAGAGTCCTAGGCGCTGTGCCACCGACGCAGGTAATTGGTAGTTAGCTGGTTCACTGCAGTGCTGAAGTCCTCTGTAGCTTATCTCTTCTGTTTGACCGTTTAATATTCAATATCGATCGAAGAGGGCAAGTGCTGATGAAAGTCTGTTGTCTGCGACACGTGCACTAAGACTCTGGAGCATACGGTTAGGACTGTCGCCGACCACGCACATGGTCGGAGGTTCGATCCCCTGCCGACGCACACCTGATATCTATGGTCGGCCTGCGAAATTTGGGCTACCGATATCCATGCTGAAAATTCCATACTTGTACCAAAAATACAGTGTGGAATCAAGCTGTAAACAAAAATAAAAAAAATAAATAAAATAATATGGACGCAGTCACTTGACATTAGAATTAGAAGTTCGGATTTTTATTCTTTGTGCTGTGGTGCTGTCTCGATCCGATTCAGGCTGGTTCTTGACTTCATTATCCGTGCCGCCTGTAATTGACAGGACGCGCTCGCTATCCAGGTAAGTGAAAGAGACGCAAATTCGTTTAGATTTCTCTCATTGATGACTATTGGTGCTTGTGCTTGTTGTTGTTGGATGGGTGGGTGTCTTCATCACCTCTATCTCCTCCGTGTTCACCTGAATTCCTGTCTGCTTCTTCTACCAATTTGTTGGTTTTCGTTTGTATATCTTTAAACTAATTTGGTGCAACATACGACCATTAGTGATCCAGATTGTTCAGTGTCTTGATTTCACCTACCAATATTGCATACTGCTGTTCACTTGTATTAAGATTTTTCTTTTCTACCGGGTCTTGTTTCATACTTCTTCTAGGTGTTCCGCGTCAGTTGAATAATAAGGCGACAACTCAGAAACGTAAAGTAAGCAGGCGTATATTCGTTTAATTCTGCTTTTGTGTAGGCTTTATGTGCAAGAGACAAACCAACTACTGTTGGTCAGCACAATAATCGAATTTTAAAAAACACCAATCTTCTCCGAAACCGGGAGCTAGTGTTTCATTAACCATAAATGTAAGTCCAGTGTTTATTGTTTGCCTGTCTATTTGTCTGTTTTTTTTGTGTGTGTGTGTCAGTCATAATATTCTATCTGGGTTCGAACCCCGGTGGGTGCGTGCTACTGTGATGAAGAGCCCCAAACTAGTGGGACGAAACAGCTCTTTAGTACTTCCAGGTTTTCCAATGATTCTCTGACCGACCGATGTCAGCTCATGATGAAATCTTGAAACCAATTAAATCCCCCATAAACCAATACTTGATTATCTCTTTTTTGCTTGTTTTTAAGAGAGCTCATGAGTCAGCAAAGAAATCTCTTTTCTTCGTAACTTTACTTGAAATCTGTACCGTTATTTGGGGGAGGGTGGTGTTTATGTGTGCAATATAGATTGACAACAGAGGTCAAAGATTATTGTCAGTACATAATAAAGTAAGCCAAAGTACATGAGTAATAACTATGTTTTAAAAGTATTAGGAATAGTCCTACGTAATCGAAAGGGTTGACACCTGATCACTTGAGTAATGAATAATCGTTTTGTTACAGGATTTCATCACGAGCTGAGATTGGTTAGAGGACTATTGGATATCCAGCTAGGAGTATTGGACAACTGTTTCGTCAACCCAGCTGGGGACTCTTCAGCTGTACGCACCCATCGGGATTCGAACCCAGGATCTTCTGGTTACAAGGCGAGCTCGTAGACCAGTAAGCCATTGGGACCCGATTCAATAGCCCATGAATTTCGAATTCTTCCGATTCATGACATAGAAGTTAGAATTCATGGGCCATTGAATCAGACCCCAGTGGCTTAATGGTTTACGAGCTCTCTAGTCTTGAAACCAGAAGGTCCTGGGTTCGAACCCCGGTGGGTGCGTACTGTGAAGAGTCCCAAACTAGTGGGACGAAACAGCTGTCCAGTACTCCTCTCTGGTGGTTTTCCAATGGTCCTCTAACCAATGTCAGCTCACGATGAAATCTTGTGGCCAATCAATCAAATCTCTACAGACCAATACTTGAATAATCGCTTTGAAATGGTTGATGACAAGCATAAGAAATGGCAGGATTCGGAATTCATGGGTTATTGAATCGGGTCCCAGTGGCCTAATGGTCTACGAGCTCGCCTTGTAACTGGAGGGTCCTGGGTTTGAGCCTTTGTGGGAGTGTACTGATGAAGAATCCTAAACTAGGACGAAACAGATACCCAGTACTCCCTAATAAAAAGAGATTAAAAATGAGTCGCTAAAAACACGAATCGGACTACATAGAGCTTATTATACATTAATTCAGGGAGAGATAGAAGAAAGGAAAAAAAAACTAGCACTAAGGCCATGGTAGTAAAAGCAACTGGATGAAATCTTACTACTGAACACAAAGTTCAGCTTTTTCCTTAAGGATTTCTGAGGTTTCAGCTGCATGATGAAGATTTAGTCGAAGTCCTTTCAAACGACTTGGTCATGCTTTATATGTATGACTTTGAAAGAAGTCTGTACTGGTGGATGCTTCATTACTAGAAGTAATAATATAACTGACTGACTGGTTTCAACGTAGAACTTTGCATCTATGTGCAGCAATTCGAGTCACCACACTTCACTCAGCGCACAAAGCAAGCAAAGGAAGTAAACAGAAATGCAAAAAAGAAATATGAGGCAAAAAGAATAGTAATATCGAAGAATAATATAGTTTTATTGGGTATTATAAGTCACAAGGAGTGGGCGCATCTGTGTCAACTATTGAGAACGATTTTGAGCGATATCACCAATTGTCTGTCACCATTGATGTTTACCATCCCGAGGACCCCAACTAGCCAGTAAGCAAGTCTACACCTCCCTACGTGACTGGCTGGCCCAAACTAACTATTGTGGATATCTTTGACTGATGAAGCCATGTTTTGGTTTGACCACCACTTGCTCTTTGCCAACCTGATCCATTCTGTGTCAGCTAAGACTGCCTGTCGAGCAAGGCTATGGCTAGGTATACGTAACACATGTCCTAACCATCTCAGTCGATGTAATTTCACAGCCTCGTCTGTTGATTTCCCCTCCTTACCTAGTACTCGACGCCTAACCTCAATATTGCTTACCTTATTATACCACTTCACACGGGATATGGAACGGAAGCACCTATGATCAAAGACAGTAAGCCGGGCCTTTCCTGTCTTCCACTTTCAATGACAAGGTCTCACTCACAGTGATAAAGTAGGACGGAGAATACTGATGCTGAGCAGTACACACGCCCTTTGGTCGGTAGTCGCCCGGATTTCACGTCTACGCCAGAGATGTCGTAGACTGGCCGACCGAAAGCTGCTACCTTGACGTGGTGGTCGGGCTTGAACACCGCAATGACCTAATCAAGCTATACTGGCTGAGACTTATGTCTCTTGAGGTTCTACCATGCCAGGCAGGTTGTTTGGATAGCGGTTAAACAAAAAGCAGCTACCTCATCCAATACCATGATCCAAACAAATTCACAAAATTTCATGCCGGATCGGCCGTGGCCCGGATTAACAACGACCGCGCTTCCTGCTGCCGTGTCACAGGGCGGGAGTGATAAGTATGCTACTGAGGCACACAAAACAACGAAGAACGAACAAAAACAGGCCGCGTGTGACCGGCCACAAGCAGTTGTCCCCTGGGCTCTGCGGTCACGCAACCAACTTCCACGGTGTGGGCAGCCGGGAAGTAACAATCGCCCTCACAATCCAAAACGCACACAAAACCTCTCTAATCCTCACTTATCTTTGTCTTCATCTTCATCTCTATTACCTTACCTTCCCCCAGTGATGCAACTCCTCTACTTGATGGCTCCTCACTCCCTCTTCACTCTGTGTCCACTAAAAACGACGAAAGCCAAAAAACCACCACGGATAGTCTCCTAAAGCCACGCCACCAATTTCATATAGGAGCATTTAATGTAAGGACACTTTGCCAAATAGGACAACAAGCATCACTAGCTAAGACCCTGGCATCTCGAGCCATTGATGTATGTTGTGTTTCAGAAACACGCATACAAGACCCAAGTGTGGTTATTCACCTAACCCCACCTGGCCAACAGGATGAATCTTCAAAATTCACCTTGAGGGTGTCAGGAGATGCCACAGCTAGTTCACGGGGATTAGCTGGCGTAGGGATAGCTCTGAGTACTAGGGCAGAAAAGACATTGCTTGACTGGATCCCAGTAGATAGCCGAATGTGTGCTGTCCGTCTGAACGGATCAGTAAGAAGGAGAAAGGACTGCACTACTCGCCGATGCCTTTTCGTAATCTCCGCCTACGCCCCCACTGACTGCAGTTCGGATGAAACGAAGGATGAGTTCTACCAAAAGCTGTCTAGTTTGGTGAGAAAGGCTAAACGCTCAGATATAGTCGTTCTAGCTGGTGACTTCAACGCTCAAGTAGGGAAATTGTGTCAATCTGAGAAGGATGTCGGTGGCACCTATGGAGTTCCGTGCCAGCGAACCGACAACGGTGACCGTCTCCTACAGTTCTGTTCAGATAATCATTTGTTTCTTGTAAGCACTAACTTTAAACACAAGGAGAGACACTGTTTAACCTGGCGACCCCCATCATCAAACCAACGCTGGACACAAATAGACCACATAGCAATAAGCTATCGTTGGCGTGGGTCGGTAGGAGATTGTCGCTCCTTCTGGAACACGTGTGTAGATACCGATCATGCACTGGTCCGGGCTCGTGTGTGCTTACGACTGAACGGACGTAGGAAACAGCTGGCGGTAAAACCATTACGCCCCCAGCTCGATCAGGAAACTAAATCCCTATTTGAGGAAGAACTAGCTAAACGCATATCTGAATCCGACAGCTGTGCTCACCCTGGAGAAGCTTGGAAGAATATTCAGTCAGCCATAGATACAGCTGTAAAAGCTGTGAATAAGACAAATCCAAAGGTGAGTAAAAACCACTGGATTTCGACTGCCTCATCCGAACTGATAGATGCTAGAAGACTTATTCCGGCGAGCTCCGAATTCAATGAGGAGCGAAAGCTGCACAAAAGGAAACTTACTAAAAGTCTCCGCAAAGACCGTGAACAGTGGTGGGTGACAAAGGCGAAAGAGATGGAAAAAGCATTGGCGATAGGCAACACTAGGCAACTCTTTAGACTCATCACAGAATCGGGCGGGAAAAGGCAATTCATAAGTGAGACTATTTCTGAGAAAAATGGCTCCTTAATTAGCTCTCAGGATAGACGCCTTGAACGCTGGAAAGAACACTTTGAGGAACAATTTAACTTGCCTACAGCCACACTGAACCTCCCCGCCATCCACCACGTACCCGAATGGGATATAGACACTGGTCCGCCGTCTGTAGGTGAGGTTACAAAAGCTATCAGTAATTTGAAACGAGGCAAAGCGGCAGGACCCGACGGAATTATTCCGGAGGTGTTTAAATATGGGGGTGACATACTAGTTTGTAGATTAACTGAGGTACTAGGCAAAGTCTGGGAATCAGAGACAGTACCATCAGACTGGGGTAAGTCACTCATTATACCGATATTCAAGAAGGGAAACAAGTCCTCGTGTGATAATCATAGGGGGATCAGCCTAACGAACATAGTCTCTAAAATCCTAGGCTCAGTAATCATGCATAGACTAAGCAGAACTCGGGAGGAACAGACAAGGGAAAATCAAGCAGGCTTTAGACCAGGTAGAGGGTGCATAGATCATATCTTCACTCTTCGACAGATTCTAGAACATAGACACACTTTTCGGCGTCCAACAATTGTCATATTTCTTGACTTGAAGGCGGCCTTCGACTCCGTGGACCGAAAAGTACTATGGCAATGTCTGACTGTGAAGGGAGTGCCAAGAAAGTACATTGCACTAATCAAGGCACTCTATTCAAACTCACGTAGTCGTGTAAGGGCTTATGGGGAATTGTCATCTGAATTAGTAACAACCAGTGGTGTCCGACAGGGATGTCCACTTTCCCCATTTCTGTTTAACTTCATCATAGATATGCTAATGGAAGTATCCTTAACTGAACGTAGTGACTTAGGAATCGACTTGTTACCAGGGAATAATCTAATGGACTTAGAATATGCAGATGACATAGTCCTGTTAGGGGAGGATGCTGACAAAATGCAGAGTCTTCTGAACACCTTGAGCAGCAATCTTCGTATGTTTGGCATGCGATTCGCCCCTGCAAAATGTAAGATGCTGCTACAGGACTGGACGACGTCAACCCCTAACTTAGTGATAGGGAGTGAAGTGATAGAACATGTTGACCACTTCACCTACTTGGGAAGTTGTATTAGCACCAACGGACTGATTGGCGATGAAATCTCAGCACGGATCCGAAAAGCTCGAGCTGCTTTCGCTGACTTACACCATCTCTGGCGTAGGCGTGACATCCGGTTATCAACCAAGGGACGTGTGTACTGCTCATCAGTTCGCTCCGTCCTTCTCTATGGCTCTGAAACATGGCCAATACGCGTTGAAGACATGAAAAGGTTGACTGCTTTCGATCATAGATGTCTGCGATCTCTGTCTCACGTTAGGTGGTTTCACAAGGTAAGTAATGTTGACGTTAGGCGTAGAGTGTTGGGCAAAGAGGGAAAATCAATCGACGAGGTTATAAAGTTACATAGACTAAGATGGCTAGGTCACGTGCTGCGCATGCCTAACCACCGCCTCCCCCGACGGGCATTGTTAGCTGATATAGGTTCAGGTTGGAAAAGAGCCAGTGGTGGCCAAACAAAAACATGGCATCAATCCATGAAATCCTTGACAGTTAAACTGAGTCAGGTAGGGAGATGCAGACTCCCGGGTTGGGGCCCTCGGGACTCTAGGAATCAATGGCTGGAGACAATAGGTGACATGGCTCAAAATCGTTGTCAATGGCGCAGATGTATTCAATCTCTGTAATCTTTCATATTCCTTTCTACCATTACCCATTCTGTTTCACTCTTATATTTGTCAAACTCTATTAATTCTCTCCACTCATCTTCTTGTCTACCTCTGTGTGCTATTTGGAACGTGGCAACTCGAACTGCTGCACTTCGGTGCCAAGTTCTATGTTGAATCCAGACAGAGACAGACAGACTGGCATATGCAAAGCTAGCCTTCTATATCCGTGCTGAGATTTCGTCAGAGATCAACCCACTTGGGATGGCTGATGGCACTTCCAAAATAAGTGAGGCGGCTAACGTGCTCCACCACTTCACTCCCTATTTCTAACCTGAGAGTCAATGTAGTCCAGTCCTGTAGCATCATCTTACATTTGGCGGGAGCAAATCGCATACCAAACATTCGTAGATTGCAGCTCAAGGTGTTGAAAAGACTCTTCACCTTGTCAGTGTCTTTTACTAGGAAGGAGGACTATATCATCTGCATGTTCTAAGGCAACAAGATTGTTACTTGGTAGCAAAGCAATTCCTGAGTCTGTGAATTTACTTATGGTTAAGTCCATTAGTACATCTTTGGTGAAATTGAATGGTAATGGGGATAGCGCGTATCCCTGACGGACACCACTAGTTGTCACCACTTCAGATGACAACTCGCCATAAGCTCCAACCTGGTTGCATGAGTTCCAGTAGAGTGTCTTAATCAGCGCGATGTATTTTCTCGGCATTCTTGTTAAGGCTACGCTTTGTTCTTGTTTTTTCTCATGACCAAGATTTGGGACGTAAACATTGACATAATAATGATAATAATAATAACAATAACAGTGATAATAATAATATGCTTTATTCCAAAACAGTACTTGTGATACAGAATGGAATTCTCAGCATTTCACTACAGTATTGCATCCAGTTAGTACATTAGCAATAAATAAAATTCTACATAGATTATGGGTTATCTCAGTTAGTTTTGACAACTACATGTTGGCATGTCGGTAGCTAAAGCCAAAATTGAACAGACTGTTTGAAGGTGTTAGAAAAGTAGATACTACTAGCATATTTACTGGCGTAAGCGGTAACAAAAAGGTCGAGATATACAGAGTGTGAAAGAACGAAGAAGAATGTTTTAAGTAGAGTTCGTAAGGAAGAAAGAAACAAAGCAGCACATAACAGAAGAAAAAGAGAGTAAAGGCAAATAAATAAATAAAACGGTGTGTCTATAAATGATATGAGTTGGAAAGACGAGATCCAGTTGTTGTTCTACTGACTATTTAATAAGTCATAGGTATCACGCATAATGCTTTCTTTATCGCACAGAACACGAGCTAAGTAGGGTATGGATGAACTTTTGCACTTGCTAGTGCGAGCATATAGTTTTCTATATAGGCTTCTGGCGTAAATTGTTGTCTACAATGTTGTCTTAAATACAACTCTCACTACAAACTAATTGTTTTTCATCGTAGGTGTCTGTGTTCTACCTGTCTGTCTATTGTGTTATATTGTATACTGTCGTCATGGGCAGTATGGTTTGATGTATAGTGTTAGGCAAGGAGGGGAAATCAGTTTATGAGAGCTGGGTATGAAGCTGTATTGATTGCAGTGGCTAGGGTGTTTCACACACATCGTTATCTCCGTCGAGCAATGTTAGCTAACTTAGGACTTGGGTTGCAAAAGGGTTAGCAATGATCAGACGAAAATATTGACGTCATGATAAAACCTTGACTACTGGTTTCAGCCATGATAGGAACGTGCGATCGTCGTGGTAATCGCTGATGACATGGCTTAAACTCGTTTTGTGATCTTTGAGATTCGCTAAATTCTAATTATATCATCCGCGTTTATTTATTTATATATTTTTTATTTTATTCCTTTACGTTTTACGTGGAACATAGGGCCTCAAGGTGTTTATTTTTGTGTGGGCGGTGTGGTTGCTAGCCTCTCATAACCAACCTTCACTCCTTGCCAATCTCATTACTACCGGCTTAACGAGGTTGAGAAGCGCGTCAGCCGGGAGTCAAACACCCAACCACCTGTGTGCATGGTTGGCCAGCATTCTAGCGCTGTGCCACCGACGCCCTGTCATTATTAATCATCTACGTCAGGTTTGACGGAGTAGCTTTGAAAACTATTGGGTTCCTTCACTGTTTTTTAGTGAAGCGAGTTGGGGGTGCGTTCTTGTACCTTTTCAAATCATCGGAAAACCCTGTTTGTAAATCTAAATCTCTTATTAAAATTGACTCTTATTTTTATTTTTATTAATACGGCATAGGATTCAATAGCCTCAGCAATTCATTCAAACAGTCTGCAACAAACACTCGGCATTTCAAAAGGAAACACTTCAGATAAACAAAAGAATTCACGTGCATTTTCAGTAAAATCAGAAGGATTAAATAGTAGTAGTGCCTCCACCAGGTGCTATAATGATGATATATCATTGGCTGTATACTCCCTGTGGTTGTTATATCAGCGTTGTACATCAAGTTACATTGTAAACAAAATACAATCTGATTATGTAAGTCTACTGATTTATTGATTTTTTGTTGATGTGAGACAACTGTTTCATCCTGGTTTGGGACTCTTCATCAGTGCGTACGCATCGGAGGGGTGGGGGCGGGGCGGAGACAAATCCAGAATCTTTCGATTACACGGTAAGCTTATAGACCATTCAGTCACGGGGAGAGCCTAGTCCTCAATGGCCAGTCGATGAATTCTAACTTCTATCAATCCGTGATCGAACCTCAGACGAAACTCAATCCTATGTAGTATTTATTTATTTAAACGCAGAAAAAAACTTGGTAAAATATTGCACCAAGAAAGATGCTCCACACAATAATAATAAAACAACATAGATCAAAAGTAAAAAAATATAAGTCGAGAACGGATAAAGAAATTCATCTGGAAGGAAAACAGTCATACATGACAAGTTCAAACAGTATTCTTCAACTATCATCGCCATCGATTACGATTCTTGGCTATATCCGATAACGTTTCGAGCCATTGATTTGAGCTATCTCGGGGATCCTAACCAGGGAGTCGTGACACACCAACCGATGCTAATCTAGCACAAACATCCTTCATCCCACGACGCCACGTCATGGACTGACCACCCCCCCGCCTTTTCCATCCCGTCTCAGGGCTGTACGGGAACCTCAGGGATGACATTCACAGCACATATCCAAGCCACCGGAGTCGGTGTTTCCAGATGACGACACTCATTGGATGGTGATCTCCACCACTGAGTTCAAACACACGCCTCCGAACTTCAGAATTACTCTCGCGATAATGCCTTCGAACGCAAGCAATCCTGGGGAGACAGCGATGGTCGAACACACAGAGTCGCCGCCACACATCCTCAGCCTATTCGAAGAGGCCAGGTTTCACAGGTCTGGCGTAGAGCAAGACAGCCCGCACCGAAGCATTGTATACCCGAACTTTGACAGCCAGACTAACGTCGCGACGGCGCCATAGGAGGCTTAAGTTGATGTACGCCACCCTAGCCTTCATTATACGGTTGGAAATCTCATCCACCAGTACTCACACAACTACCCAGATACACAAACTTATCAACGACTTCAAGCGGTTCACCCGCAGGAGTGAGTGCGAATCTTGTAACAGTACTTTGCACTTAGACAGCGCAAATTACATACCATACTTACTTACAGACACTGATCGCCAACTGATTAAGTGGAATTTTGGCAGTCTGCATGCTATCGCAAAGTAAGACGATATCGTCTGCATACTCAAGGTCGAAAAGCCTATTTGCAGGTAGCAGATCTACACCACCTTCACGCACATCCTTCAGAGCTGACTCCAGAATGTCATCGATGGCAAAGTTAAAGATAAATGGAGAGATTGGACAACCCTGTCTAACCCCACTGTAGGTTGGGAACATTGATGATAGTTGGTTGTATGCTCTCACTTTACCTGAGGTGTTTTCTGAATCCTTACTAACTAACTCTGGAAAATTAATCTGATGCTCACTAGTGACTGGCTGAGTATAGAACACGAAGTTACCTGGAGTTCTAGTGAGATAGCGTGACCAGTAGTGGGGTGCCCCCAGTCGGGAGTGAAGAAAAACACTTGCCATGGATGACATTAGTTGATGGTTGCGCTAAAATCACTAACCGGTAGAAGTTAGAATTCATGGGTGGTTTGCTACCGGATCGGGCCCCAGTGTCTGTATGGTCCACAAGGTCACATTGTCACCAGATGGTCTTGTGTTCGAAACCCAGTAAGTGAGTATTGCTTGAGAGTCCCAAACTAGGATGGGGGAAACGGTTATCCAGTACTCCCACCTCCATGGTGGTGGTTTTCAACGGTTGTCGCGATCAAATCCCTACTGACCAAAACTGAATTTTTAACAGTGATGCTATTATATACTACTAATTGATTGGTGTGAGTAGTTAAATAGGATTCGCATCAAATTTCACTGTTTTCCGACCAGATCAATCAGTAGTGTATTTCTTCTCTTGCTTTCTTATTTATTTGTCATATCTGATATCAAATCGATCAGATAACGTGATCGGAGTTTATTCTTTTCTTTTTGCTTTGCAAATGGAAGAAATCTGGTGATTCTTGAGCCTAAAGTCTGAAGTTTGCTTATAATGAATTGAATTAAACACCTTTGATGTCCGGCTTGTTTATATCGTGTGTTGTTACTTTTTTTTGTAGACAAAAATTGCAATAATGTCCAGCGAAATAAAACGTTTGTGTGAGAGGATAACTCGTTTGCATAAAGCAAAATCAAATTGGCAGAATTGGTACGAGTCAGTGACAAATTTACACAGTGAGGTGAAATATTTTGTTCTATTTTGTGTTTGATGCATTTTCCTATTTTAACGCTTCATACGATAAAATTTATTAGTACAGTCAGTCAGCTGATTTGTAGAATCTGCATAATTCACACTCAGGGGGTAATCAACACTCCAGTCAATAAACACCCAGCCAACGGTGATCGGATGTAGAGTAGCTGTGGGTTATTAAGATAGATTACGTCCACCACTGCAAATGTAGTGATTGAACAGACTTCTTCTGTATGCAGAGTTCAGACTGAGCAAGTGAATCGCCATTGCTTCTGTGGTGGAGGGAAAGGTCGATAACAGAAGCTTTGTTTATCGAATCAACTGCGAATCAGCACGTGTAACAGGAATGATTGAACACCTGTCCGCCCAGATATCTGGAAAATTCTACTACCCCTACGACAACAAATAGGAGAAAAACAAAGAAAACTATAAAACTCAAGTTTCGAAGTCGTGTGATTATAATTCATGATATGATTGTGAACACTATCCAGTAAATAAATACTACTGTTTCGTCACTGTGTGTGAAACATCTAATAAGCAAACTAATATGGAATTACTTCCTACCACAGCGCCCAAGTTTTACACATATATCAATATGGAGTGAAGTATGTTGCAAAAGATTTCCACACGGAAGCACTGACTAACCATGACATTACTGCTGACAGTTCAACTGTTCACACTTCATGCAAAGTGCAATAGATTTTTTTTCAAAAAATATTTCAGATTAATGAAGCTCTGTCTTGCTTATCCAATGCTTCCCGGGATATTGACATCTTTATGCTTGCTGCCTTTAACTGAAACGATGCTGCCCAGATAAGTGAAGAAGGTGACCTCTTTCAAATTTCTTCTGCTGATAGTGATTGGTGCTTTTTCTTGCCGATGTTAGTCGATTGGTACCTTTGTCACCTGTATCGCCTCTATGTTCACTCGAAGTCCTGTCTTCTCTGCTAGAATATTTTTCCAACTTGTCGGTTTTCGCCTGTAAGTCTTAAGCGTTTGACATAAATCGTCTGGGTAGTCCGAATCTCCTAGAGTCTTTTTGTCCGTCCAACATATGTATGCCTGTCTGCTATCCACTAATAATTCCAGTTCACTATCAGGAGCATCAAAAGATCATTTCCGACGTCTTGAATTATGAAATTATAGAAGAAAAATATGTTTTAGGTTCGTGAAACTGTGTCACTGATTTATTACTATTATTCCCTTGGGATCCTATTGGAACATAGGGAGGGCTTCAACTGCACGTCTCCACTTGCCACTTCTGTCTTCCTTCTGATGTACTTTTCACCTGTATCCATCCATGTTAGTCCATACTGTTTCAACTCCTCTCTCTTCACACGATCTCCTCCATGTCACCCTTGCACTGACGACCCACTCGTGGGGCTTCCCTTTCGGACTGGTTCCACTCGAGCAATGGCCTGACGCGCGCGTGATGTCACCAACCGGCCTCCTCACTCAGCGAGTGTTCAATCCATCACCATCCACTTCCTCCTGCATATTTGTTGGTTGACGATTGGTTCTTGTTTTGTTTGTTCCCAGCCAGAGTTTCTTGTTGGGGATTCTTTCCAGCCCGGCCGTCTGATCTTCAGCATAGACCCATAGAAGACAGTTGTTGGTTGATGAAGGTGAGCATGCAACAGGCTGTTGGAAATATTATTTGTTACCCGCTCACCAAGTTTCTGATCCGTATAGAGAACTAACTGATTTAACGTTGTTTGTACTGAAAATCCGACCGAATTTTGTTGTTGATGGTGAGTGACGAAGATTTCCAGATTGGTTGTTTCAGGTTGATGAATGTGTTTCTCGCTCGCCTTCCCGATTCTCTATTTCATTGACATCCTCGTCCATTCCGACTTCCTGTAGTTGAGACAATGCTCCCTAGATAAGTGAAGTGAATGAAGTAACCTCTTTCAAATCCCTCCCGTTAATGGTGATTGGCGCTGGATGTTGCTGCTGTTATTGTTGTTGTTGGTTGGTTGGTTACTTTTATAACCTCCGTCTTGTCTATGTTCACCGGGAGTCCTGTCTTCGCCGGCTGCTTCTTCGACCAGTTTGTCGGTCGGTTTTCGCTTGTAATTCTTCGATTTTGTGTGACATCAAACATAAATGATCCACGCGCGAAACCCAGGTCTTCTAGGTTCTTCGCGTCGGTCCAGGATATCCCTGTCTTCGCGTTTCCCACCCACTATCTTACGCATAATCCAGTCCACCACAATTAGGAATATCATTGGTGATAATAAGCAATCACCCTTGTCTGACTCCTGTGTTTACTCCAAACGCCTCGCTGAGTTTTCCGTTGTGGATAACTTGACATGTCCCATGATCACTGATGATTATCTTATACTAACTTTCGTCACAAGGCAATTGGAGTTAGTGTGGTACACTGTTAACTAATATTCAGTCGTATTTGAATAATTCATCAATATGATTCATATTATAATCAATTCTCAGCCGTCATTGTTTCTTAGAGTCTTGGAAATCCCAGAAAAGCAGTCTACACTTTCCGACATGCCTCAAATCGATAGTCACAAACTTCATGGATTTATGCTATGCTTTCCTCTGACCATCCCTAAATATATTCTCAATGAGGAAATCGATGGTTCGATATGCATACCACATACGATGACATTACTATTCATTTACAATTCAGGGTAAACGTTAGAAACATGGACAGAAAAAGATATACATGTAATCTACTACTAAAATCATCAATAAGTATTATGAGACGTAATTTAGGCATTTTTAAAGTTCAACTATTTGAAAAATGTGACACGTCAATGGTTCAATTACAGAATGCTTGCCAACCACGCCTTAGATGGTCTGCACTTCAGTTGACAACAGCAAAACTCCTTAACTTGAAGTAGAGCAACAAAGAGGGAAAGTCGCACATAAACCAACACCATCTCTACTGAAAATTCAAAGCTATGGCTTGGAGCCATTTGTTGCTGAAACAGAATAGATCAGATTGGAAAAGAGCCAGTGGTGGTCAAACCAAAACATGGCTTCATCAGTCAATGAAATCCCATAACAGTTAGTTTAGGCCAGCCAGTCACGTAGGGAGATGTAGACTTGCTGGCTGGGGTCCTCGGGAAGGTAAACACCAATGAAAGCTGGAGACAATTGGTGATATGGCTGAAAATCATTCTCATTGATAGCTGGTTGAAATGCATCCACTCCTTGTGACTTGTAATATCTAATAAAATTATATTGTTCTTCGATATTACTATTCTTTTGTCTCATATCTTTGTTTACTGTCTCTCTTGCTTTGTGTGCTACATGGAGTGTGACAACTTGAAGTGCTGCACATCAGTGCAAAGTTCTATATCGAAATCAGTTAGTCACAACTGAACATCTAAACGATATGAACCATAAGATCGATGTCAAAACGGTGCTTAAGGTTACTTTTAAAGACGGTTAATGGCGTTTATTGAAATACGCTAAGACGATAGAGCTATTCGTTAACTGCAGCCCACTCACCTCCATGCTATTGTTATTCTTAAATCTTTTCGTCATTTTGTGTATTTTAATTGACGTACGTAGAACTGAAAAGTCGTCTATTTGTGATCGCCTGTTAGAGTCTGGTCATTCAGCCCCACGTGATTCATCTTTCAAAGTTATCTACATGGCAAGATCGATCGAATTGCTCCAAAAGTTTACGTTTTCTTCACTTATGCATAACCAAAGCTTTAGCTATACATGAACAGAAACCTAAATTATTTGTTCAAAAACGTTTTGTCAAACCCCTTTCTTCACCTTGGTCATAGTAATGTTCTTTCTAGTTTTTATTTTATTTTACCACTTGAATTCATTCCACATCACTTCACATCTTCATTCTCATCGTAATCGTACTCCTAATTTCTAAAATTTTTTAAGACAACGCTTGACAATAATTTTGTAATCCATCCACTCCAACTCTCCCCCTTATAACATTTTTTAATTATAGATATTCTTATCACATATATATGTATATTGACTGAACAATTATTTAGTGCCACTTAATAACCTTTTTCTGTAATATAAATACGGCTGTACAGTTAGTTGGCTTGAAAATGAAGTCGTTGAAAAGAAATTTCTTCGCTGAACCAAAAAAACTGTGTTTTTACTTATGAATAATATGGATATTTTTCGTGAATTCAGAACATCTCTCTCAGCATGGCTAAGTAGAGGTGCAGTGAAAACCATTACCAGCTCGATATTGGAACATCTGGTGCAAACCAGCCACAAAGCCAGAGTAGATGAATCCTTCCTATATTATACCGGGTGCCAAATAAATTACCAAAAACATCGAAGCACCCCAGACTCCAAACAGCAGAGGCTATTGCGATTCGCCTCAAACAACCAGCACTCTGTGTCCAAAAGAAGAAAGTCCAGCCCCTACTATTTCCTTGGCCTTCAGTAGAAGCTATAAACTCATGAATTTGTAATATTATCCTTCCTAATTCTTCTGACATTCAGCTTACTTTATGTTGATGCTGTTGTGCTGTAATCTATCAATATTATTGATTCAATGTTATTTAAACAGCATTTATCTTGTTCATAACACGAATTCATTCACTCACTATTATGTATATATAACTGTAGAACCTGATGATGAAGGGGTTATCGAAAAGAGTACTCTTTGTTCAGTATCCATTCTTTTGAAAATTCAGATTCCACTTGATATGAAGTGCTTCTCATTGGTATTAGACGTTCTTCGTGATTCCTGAAAGGCTTTTTCTGGATAATTTCGACATTCAAGTATTGGTGTGTAGGGATTTGGCTGATTGGTGGTTACAGGATTTCATCATTAACTGACATTGGTTAGAGAATCATTGGAAAACCACCAGAGAGAAGTACTGGACAGCTGTTTCATCCGTCCTAGTTTGGGACTCTTCAGCGGTACGAACTCACCGGGGTTCAAACCCTGGACCTTCTACTTGCAAGGCGAGCTCGTAGACCTTACTCATTTTTCACATATAAATTGGCTTGATAAGTAAATGTGTATGTATGTGTGTGGGATCAGATCGCTCGGATACATCG